GCACTCCCCCCCGGAGGAGGGAGTGGGTCACCCTAAACAAGGCGGCTGGGCGGTTCTCTGCAGATGCGATAAGAGCGGAAAAGTGGTTAGACTTTGCCGCTTTTATCGCCACTAGGTAGGTCTTGATATAAGACCTCACCTGTGTCCGGTCGGAATCGGATTGACTAGTCCTCCAAATGCTCTCTAGGCGTCTTTTCCGACGCTTCATCTCTCTCAGCTCCTCAGAGAACCAAGGAGCCAGTTGAGATCGGCATCGGGTCAGAGGCCGCAAAGGCACGACGCGGTCCAAAGCTCCAGCAGCCGCCCTTTCCCAGGCGGCCACCAGCTCTTCAGTCGAGTCATGTGTTAGGGTCTCAGGGCACGGCCCAAGCTCCGTCAGGAACCTTTCGGGTTCCATCAGGCGCCTGGGACGGAACCATCTAGTTGGCTCCGTCTCCCTGCGGCGGGGGACGGTGGTAGGAAAGTCTAGTTGGAGGAGCGAATGATCTGTCCATGACAAGGGTTTAATATCTAGGTCCCCTCTACCAAGATCATTCAACCACTGACCAGAGACAAAAATCAGGTCCAGAGTGTGTCCCCCTATGTGAGTTGGGTCTTGAACTAACTGGGTTAGGTCCATGGCCGTCATGGAAGCCATGAACTCCCGAGCCGCCTCTGACGCCTCACCCGCGGATGGAAGGTTGAAATCCCCCATGACGATAAGTCTGGGGGTATCAACCGCCACCCCGGCAATGACGTCGAGTAGCTCGGGCAGGGTCGCTGCCACGTGGCAGGGAGCCAGGTACGTAGTCAGCAAACCCATCTGCACCCCACGGCCCCACTTTACACAGAGGGACTCACATCCGGCTATCTGAGGAACAGTGGTCTCCCTCGGACAAAGACTTTCCCTAATAATCACCGCCACTCCCCCACCCCTCCCCTGGGCCCTTGGCTGATGAAATGCACGGAAACCTGGCGGGCACATCTCAACGAGGGGGACCCCCCCTCCTGGCCCAACCAGGTCTCTGTAATACCTGCCAGGTCCGCACCCCCCTCCGAAATAAGGTCACAAATGAGGGGGGCTTTATTAACCACCGACCTGGCATTACACAACATCAGCCGCGGACCCAGGGCCTGAGACTCTACACAACCCAGGGCACGAGTCACGCATCGGGGGCCGGAGTGCGCAATCGCTCGTAAACAGCGTATGCGCACCCCCGACACTTGATATGGCCCCCTGCGTCCGTCATACCTGCCCCTCCCACTCATTATTTCAATTTCACAGCCCTTCCTGTCATCCCCCTGCTTCCCAGTTAAATTTCCTTTCGCAACCCTCCTGCTGCAACTAATCGACCCATCATCCCGCTCAGTCGCTATCTGGACCCCCCCAGGTCCGCTTTTACAACTCCCCCTCCCTCCCGGGTCCCCTTAAAATTTTTTTTAAAAATTTACCTAAAAAACCCCTCAACCCCCTCTTCGCTACATGCCATCTCTCGGGGTTCCAAAGCCCGTCATCAAGATAGGCCCTCGATAATGTGGAGGGCCAGGCCTGCGAGAGGGGGGAGTCTCGCAGCGCAAGAAGGTCGGCTTTTTGGAGCATCAACCGAACCAGAGATGGGAAAAAGGCCAGTCCGGGGGTCTATCATAGTCCAAAGGGATAACTGAACATAAAGATCACAAAATGTCCATTTGTAGAGCTGGACTCCACTGTCCTCTCACGACAGGGAGAAAGTCCAATGTTCTTTTTCTCCAACAGAGGCTAATAGCCAACCATCCTCTCACGACGGCCGGTCCCGTTACAAGAGGTTAACGGGAACAATGTTCTATCCTCCCCGTTGGGATACAAAAATCTCTCAGTTCTTTCAAATGGTGTTCAGTCTCTCCTACCAGCGAGGGCATGAGTGGAACATAGTGGGGGGGGGTCCAAAATGTCCAGAGCGTAGTAGTTCGTAAGCCCCTTCCCCCATAAAAAGGGGGGGGCGGGAAGGCAGGGGGAAGGAGGGGGGGAAACAATATCCCCAGAGGAGGGTAACATCTCTTCCTCTGCCGATCTATAAGTCCAGGCCTCCTCACTTCGGCTTCTCCTCTCCACTCTCAGCAAACTACCACTGCAGCATTCTGCGGCAGACATCGCACCGGAGCCAGTGTCACCCCCCACCCCAGCACCATAACAGATGCATGGGGGGGGGCAACCAGTGCCGCCAACTGGCCTCCACCGCCAGCACCGCCTTGGCTCTGTTGCTTTGAGTGGGGGGGGAGGGGAGGAGGGGGGGCATCGCCCCACGGCCGTTCGCACCACCGCCGGAGCCACCGTCCCCCTCCAGCCCCTCTTCTCCGATGGAAAACAAGGACCGCAGCTAGATGACTCTTTGCGGCCACGCCAAGCTGCTCCCACCATCGCTGCTACCGCCGTTCCCGCTGCTGCTGCCGCCGCCATCACCGCCATTGCTTTCTCGGCGCCCTCAGCTGTTCTTCGGCGCCCTCAGCTGTTTTACGGCGCCCTCACCACTGCCACAACCTTCGCGGGGCTCCAGGCAGTTCCACAGTGCCCAGGATGGCCTCACAGCGTCGTCGCCGCCGCTGCCGCCGCTACCAACCCTGCGGCGCTCCGCGGCGTCCTCGGCGTCCCCAGTACCCTTCAGGGCCTCTCCCAAACCGCTATCCCCTCGCTCCAACCACGATGTCACAAGGGGAGCAAAAATCCTCCCCAGGTTGGGCAGGGGCTCTCCTCACTGGGGCTCGGGGTCGCAGATGGATTTAGCGACCCTACACCCCCCGAAAAGGCCAAATAGCCCCCATCATCAGACCGGGAGCTCACCCAGCACCGCCATCTTCAAGCATGCGCAGATAAGAAAATGACCTTAACAAGCGCAAACAAACTTTAACAATCACTTTCTTCTTAAACTTCCATTCTCTATCAGCGCCATTTTGGATCTCTTTAAAACTTTCACTCGAATCTGAAAGGACTCATTATTCATCAGAGTTAAAGGAAAGAAAAATACTTGCGAGAAGCTTTCCTGTTTTGTTCTGCCTGCGTAAAAATCGATCCTTGAAATCACTTGTTTCGCAGGGATGGTCGCGGTGCCTTGTTCCGTCAGAGACGGAATCCCGAGTCTGGAGCTGCTTTCCAGGCGTTTGGGGAGCCCTCACCCTCTGCACCTCCAGGATTAATCCTGGAGGTTTTGGGGGGCTCTACTCTATACACCTGAGCACTCACCTCCCCCCCTTTGCCCGAAGGGGAAGTTCCAGCCGCCAAAACGGCTGATTTACGCTGTTTTGGCGGTTTTACAGATCCCGGGGTTAGGAGCTCACAAAGGAGCTGCAGCGGTGCCGGCGGTGCCAGCGGAAGTCTGGATGGCATTTAATTTTGTTGTACCAAGTGCAATGACAATAAAGTAAACTAACTAAAGTAAACTAACTAATTAGCAAAGTGTTCCTGCACTGGGGCAAGCAGGTGAACCCTTAGTGATGGCCATTGGGGCGAACCCATAACTGATGGCCATTGGGGTCAACAGCGGTAATTTAAGCAAAGCTTTATTCCTGTCCACATTTCAATACTGCATAGATTTCAATGCATTTATAGCATGCAAGATCCTCTTTTGACAGGAGAGTGGTATGTGGGAAGGTGTGGTTTCAAGTGAAAGTTATCTACAGATGAGGACAGAGAATGTCCTCATCTGTAGGGTTTTTGTGACTATTCTTGTGAATTCTTGTGACTATTAAAAGCATCAAGAACTGAAACGAAGACTCTTGTTTAATCTCTCTCATTGTTCCGATTGTTCTCTCCGCCTCTAGCCAGCGGTGCTTTTCCAGTGTTCTGTTCTGAGCCTATTCCTCCATGGGGGCGTGTGTATGATTCAACAGGCTGTCCATTTCTTCATTTAAAAAAAAAAAATTGAAACAGAGGTTCAAAAGAGTCCTCTTGTGAAATACTCATCTTTTCTGCTTCTTAGGCAACTAGCAAATTGCTTGTACTTTTAGAGCACTAATTTGATCTCTGAGAAATGCTCTGTCACTAGCAATGGCCACTATGGTAAAATAACCCTTGCATACTCTCTACATTCCAAATATAGTCAAATAATTCAACATTTTGCTTTTTTTAAAAAAAACATTTTTTCTTTTGCAATAATTTAAATTGACCACTAGGTTGCAATCTTTTTTCAAAATAATTGCCATTCAGTTAGAGATGAACTGTGCTTGAAGTTACTGTTCCTTCTACTGGCCTTCACCTACTCACTCATAATCGTGATTTTAAAAAAATGCTCAGGCAGCATCGTTTTTCGGTTTGGCACCCGTGATGCTGCTTTCATCTCAACCCCAGCCCACGGCTGAGACTGGCTTAAGTAGTTCTTAGGTGTATCTGTGACTTAAAGGAGTGTTTTCCTTCTTATTGTGACACTATCCAAGAGAGCCTCAAGTTATGCAAAAGAGGTTAAACCAGGGGTGAAATGTAAAATTTGTTACTACCGGTTCTGTGGGCGTGGCTTGGTGGGGAGGGGGTAATGTGATGGTGGGCATGGCCAACTTTTTTTTTTTTAACTTTTCAAAGCATTTTTTCTAATGCTTTGAAAAGCCTCTGCCGATCAGGCAACTCAGCTGGGATCATCAGAGAGGCTTTTTAAAAAATGCTTTGAAAAGCCTCTCTGAGGATCAGGCAACTCAGCTGGGATCGTCAGACTTTTCAAAGCATTTTTTTTACCACCTCTTCGGCCAAGAGGTTGCATTTTTTCATCGGAAGAGGTTGTAGAAAAAATGCTTTTAAAAGTGAAAAAAAAAAGTCTCTGATGATCGTGCGGCTCAGCTGGGCATGGGGGGGCACAGGGATTTTTGCTACCGGTTCTCCGAACCACCAGCCACCATCGCTACCGGATCAGGTGATCCGGTCCGAACTGGGAGCATTTCACCCCTGGGTTAAGCTTGGATTTTTTTCAGATGACCAAGGGAGAGGGGAGGATTGATAAATAAAGAAGGACTACCAATGTGTGGCTAGATCTTTATAAAACTCTTTTTATTTCCTGCAGGGTTTCTTACAAATGCGCTGGTCGCGCTTTGCCCGTGTGGTCTTCACTCGTTCCTTCGCCATTCTTCCCACTGTCTTTGTCGCTGCCTTTAGGAACGTAGGAGACTTAACAGGCCTCAACGACCTTCTAAATGTACTCCAGAGCATCTTGGTGAGTTTGTAATCCAGTAGCATCCTTCTCTCAAGATACAATACAGATAGTCCTCGACTTGCATTTAGCAACAGTTGGAATTTACAACGGCACTGAACAAAGCGCTTTAGGACTGATCCTTGCACTTATGACCATTGCAGCATTTTTGTAGTCACATGATAAAAATCCAGGCACTTGGCAGGCATTTATAATGGTTGCAGCATCCCGGGGATATGTGATCAACATTTGTGACTTTCAGCTTCCAACAAGCAAAGTTAATGAGAGAAGCCAGATTTGTTTAAGGACCATATGATTCATTTAACATTTGCTTGACAACCGTAGCAGAAAAGGCTGTAAAATTGGGTGTGATTCACTGAACCACCAGCATGCTTAGCAATGGAAATTCTGGTTGCAATTATGGTTGTAAGTCAAGGACTATCTGTACTGCAGATTCTGAAAGATCTGATTAGCTGTAGACTTTCATATAAATCCTCTAATCCCATACAGCCACTTTCTGAATCTGGCATCTTGTAGGTATATAGACTCCCGGTCCCAGAATTCTCTGCAGTGTCATCTAAATGGGGAATTCTGAGTGCTGAAATCTACCATTCTGGAATGTGCTCAAATTCAGTCAGATTACGTTAGGACTATAACTCCCATTATTTCCTTTTTTTTTCTTGGCTATCCTAATAATGGTGGAATTTGTAATCCAACATACCTAGAGGTTGTCCATCTGGGATGACTGCTATTGACCTCTTGCTGCCAATCTTTCTTTCTCCCCACATTTTTCTTTTAATTCTGCAAATTCAGAGCCAGATAAAATATCCATCTTTAATGGCTTCAATAGCCATGTCTACATTCACATGACATGCTTAGCCAGGTCCGAAGATTAAACAGCATGTACAACATGCTTAATTGGTTTTTTGTTTGCTTTTGTGGTTTAATGTGTTTTGAAGCACCAGCTTGTTTGCTTAGTTTAAGGTTCAGTTTATTGTGCCAATGCAGAAAATGAGCTAATTCAATAACCAGGTTAAGCGTGTTTTGTGAATGCAGACTCCCAGTGGAAATGCAAATACAGATAGCCCTCAATTTACAACCACAATTGAGCCCAAAATTTATGTAGCTAAGTGAGAAATTTGTCAAGTGAGTTTTGCTCCATTTTATGACTTTTCTTGCCACATCTGTCAAGTGAATCACTGCAGTTGTTAAATTAGTAACAGAATTGTTAAGTGAATTTGATTTCCCCCTTGACTTTGCTTGTCAGAAGGTGATCCCATGACCCTGGGACACTGCAACCAGAGATGGGTTTCAGCAGGTTCTGACCAGTTCTGGAGAACCGGTAGTGGAAATTTTGAGTAGTTTGGAGAACTGGTAAAAAAAATTCTGACTGGCCCCACCCCCATCTATTCTCTGTCTTCCAAGTCCCAGTTGATCGGGAGGAAATGGGGATTTTGCAGTATCCTTCCCCCGGAGTAGGATGGGAATGGAGATTTTACAGTATTCTTCCCCTGCCACACCCACCAAGCCATGCCCTGCCCACCAAGCCACACCCACAGAACCAGTAGTAAACAATTTTGAAACCCACGACTGACTGCAATCATCATAAATTTGAGTCAGTTGTCAAGCATCCCAATGTAAATCACGTGACCATGGGGATGCTGCAACGGTCATAAGTGCGAAAAATAGTCGTCACTTTTTTGAGTGCCGTTGTAACTTCAAATGGTCACTAAGTGAATTGTTGTAAGTTGAGGACCACCTCTGTAAACATTGCTGACCTGTTTGCAATAAACTAATTTATTTAACCACATTTGCAAAAAAAAAAAAAATAGCGACAACAATCTTTATCTGATAGGGACATGAAAGAAAATATTTCAAGAAAGGTTATTCTAGAACGTTCATCAAATGCCTAAAGTGCTGTGACAGGAATGGGCATCCCACAACCAGCAAATGTTTTTGAATTACAATTCCCAGCATTCCATTCCATTGGCATGCAGACCAGGTCTGCTGGAAGATGGTCCAACATCTGGAAAGCACCACATTTTTCACTCCTGAATATAAAACAAAAACGTTTTTTTTCGATATTCTGTAGGTGAAGGCTAGAGCTCAAGTTACAGTAAAAACACAAGTCAGGGCTTTTCAGGCTGAAGCCTGGCACTTACCTGCTAGTTTTGGATATTTTTCATCAGATAAGGAATGGACTACAAACCAGCATCATGATTATATAGTCCTATTAGAATTATAAATAACCCAAATGCCTTTTAGATTAAATCCAACATTAATGTTGGTTTAGGAATTATAGAAGCTGTTTTAAAATATCTGGAAAGCACATTGTCTACTCTTGCTATGATGTAATGCTAGTTTGCTAAAGATCCTCTGAGGCTATCAAGAAACGATGGTATCATGAGTCTGTGAACAGTTGAAAGTGATACAGAATGTGGCGGTGAGGACAGTTCTTGGGGCTCTTAAATGGCCCATGTTATATTGCTGTTCCACAAACTGCATGACTGCAACTTTGCTTCCGGGTGAAATTCAAGGTGTTGGTTACTATCACCTTTACAGTCCTTCATAGCATGGGTTCAGGCTATCTGAGGAACCGTCTTACCATAATGGAACTGGTCTGCCTTACCCATACCAGCAGATGGGGCATGGTGCAGACGCCAACAATCAAGGAATTTCAGCTAGTGGGATCCAGGACAATTTTCTCTCCCATGGCCCCCCCCAAGTGAGATCCGCACCCACCCTTCTGACTTCTGTTAAGGGCCTGAAGACCTGGTTCTACCAGTTAACCTGGGGCTCCTTTGTGGGTGCATCATGCTGGAAGTGACTAATAGATTAAGGCAAGACCCCAACCTCCTCCCAACCTACTGTGTGTATCCTGCTCCTTTCCTCTCCATCTTTTTAATTGTAAATTATTACTATTATTAAGACCATTTATTGTGTCCATGGTTTATTGGCCTTTAATGTTTGTAAGCTGCCCAGAATTCCTGTAGGAGAGATGGGTGGCAAACGAATCTAATAAATAAACTAATCAATGGTCAGTAGTCCCTTAAAAAATATGTTGGTTGTTCGCCCATATAAAAAATTATGAGAAGGGATACAGATAGAAAACATAGTGCTTACTTTTAAAACCTGCCTGCATGCTCAACCTGTTTTTTTTCCTATCTAATTCTAGCTACCTTTTGCGGTCATACCTGTTCTCACCTTCACCAGCATGGAACCTCTCATGAAGGATTTTGTCAACGGGATGTAAGTAGCTCAATTTGGATAGGGACTCCTTTGTGATTCTGAGGACCATTTCCATCTTAAATTTGTACTGTCACAGAAGCACACCACTCAGATCTCTATCTTCCATCAAAGTTCAATTTAGCCAGGCTTGCTTGTTCTTCCATATAAACAGCTTTTTCATTAGGTTGTTCCATAAATAGGAGATGCTCAGGAGGTGTCCCTGTCATGTCAAGTTTAACCTATGTGGATACGTCCATCCTTTTTTGGCAATAATAAATCACAATACACGTAGGCATTATTTATGCTAATTATAGTATTTAGAGGGTTGCGTGGTTTCTTTTTCTTTAAAGACAAAAACGAAAGAAATCAAGGTATGAAGTGTTCTAAGAAGAGGAAAAGTCTTCTACTTCCCACAGAGATTAATCTTTTTCACTCTAGATGTAGCTCTAAAAACGTGGTTGAGATGGAATTGCTTCAATAACCTCGATCCATGTATTTTTTCCCCCCCACTTGCTTTTCTCTCTCGTTTTCTTAGCATTGGAAAATTTCTAATGATCCTGATCACTGCATTAATCTGTGCAATCAATTTATACTTCGTGGTGACAAGCATCATAAGCTTGAACCATCTGGCCTACTACATTGCCATATCATTCGTGCTCATCGCTTACGTGGCCTTCGTCTGCTACCTGGTAGGAACCTTGTATGCAAATTCGGCATCATCCATATCAGTTGTTTATCCCCAAATTGGATTTAACAGTTCTAGGGATTACCTATTCAAATAGATAAGATTGTGGAATCTATTGCATTAAGCTGTTCCTAATGCAAAATCTCCAGAGCAGATAATCAGTGACCTTAGTCGTAGTGATGAAATAGCAATGCCAGTTTATCCTGAATATTCAGTCAGCTCAGCTCTTTCTCTTCCCCCATTCCTTATCATAACTAAAAATGATGTTATATAAAGATAGGTGTTTATGAAGCAATAGAATGACATTTCTGGGGAGGGCACAAAAATGGCCTGAAATTGTATAACTTGCTAAGCTACTGTATATAATGTTGTTTGACTTTAGCATAGCATGTTATGCCAAATTCAATATGCCACTTTTAAGCAAATTGCAGCTTAGCACAAGTTCTGGAACAGATCTACCGGTCCCAGGGAAACAATACCAGTGGTGAAATCCTCCCTGGTTTGCCACTGGTTCACTGCCCACACATGCATGGTGCACGCATGCACAGTACACACCAAACACGTGCTGCTTGCTGAAAAAGGAGGCTTGGGAAGGTAAGTAGAACAGCAAGGTGGGGGAACAGCTGTGCCGCGTGATTTAGATTCACTAGAAAGCAGGATTTCCTGCTTTCAAGCAATTTTAAATCATGCGGCACAGCTGATCATCGGAAATACTGCTTCGGACCAACCGATAATTTTTTTTTACTACCGGTTCACCCAAACTAATGCGAACTGGTAGGATTTCACCACTGAACGATACCCACTTAAATAAGTACCTTGTGAAAGAAAAGGAACTCACATGTATCTCTTCGGCAAACATGTTGGCTGAGAATTCTGAGAATGGTCACTCCAACATATCTGAAGGGCAAAAGCTTGAAGACAAACTTAAGAATGTATGAGAATTGTTATGAGGAAAAATGGGTTAGTCACACAGGGACACTGAAGCTTGCTTACTATTGCAGACAGGTGGAAAACATAAGGTTATTTGGCTTGATGATCAAAACTCTCCCCCATTTATTTATTTAATATACATATATGGCCACTCATCTCATATACATGACTATTCTGTACAAATACATGTAACTTGTTCTTGGATTTTGTCATATCTCTCACCATTCCAGATTTGGACTTGTCTCATTTCACATGGAGCTGCCTTCCTAGCTCGTGGGCCCCATACTCGGTTCAGTTATGGATTGCAGTGATAGTACATCCCACTCATCACCACTGGAAGCTGATGAATCATCACTGTTCCCCAACAAAACAGGAAGCAGCTGCTCTTGGGGATCTGCCAGGAAGCAAAGGTGTCAGAAGCAGAGTTTCTGTTGGCAAAGGATGGACTCCAGCATCAGTAGTGATCACTCAGCAGAAGCACAGTGTCTGCTTTGCAGGCCAAAAGTTCCAGAGACAATTTCTGGCATTCCTAAAGAACCTTCAGACTTGGAATGGCTGTGGTGTAACTTCCAGAGAGGGTTCAAGACTTGATGCACTCTTGTTTTTTAATCCTGACGGCATGTAGCAAGTTAGAAAAAAAAAAGTGTAAAGAAAAGTATAAAGTATTCTAGATACTCATGACCAAATGTGCACACCTTCTACCAGCTTCAGACCCAGATCGGCTTTGTGTGGAACATCAAGGCATCCACTTTACTAGTGGGTGGGGAGCATTTCTTTTTTGGGGGGAGGTGGGTTTAGGAGCTTAAGGAATGGGGATAAAGATAGGAATGTTTGGTTCCACCATTGGTGAGGCCACAAAGGAATAATGGAAGAATCCCTTTGGTTCTACTTTTGCATCATTACTTTAGACTTTGTCCTTTGTCTTACTCTGGCCTGTGAGACTCTGTGAGAAATCTCTCAAAGTAATATGCACCTAATATTTATACTGAAGGATCTGGCAGCTACTCCTTCTTTGCCCCCATTTTAATCTAAAAGCTACTATCAGAGCCCATAACTGACAATTCCACAAGCCCACACTCTAGTTAAGGATCCACTGTAGATCAGTCAACTCACCTTACCTTCTCCATGCTATTGCTGCTTGACTTCTGCCCTCAGGATGAAAGCAGTAATGGGAATGACAGCTGGAGTAATGAATCGTCTTGATTAGAACAAGGGGGCCCATTCAGGGGTGAAATGCTCCCGGATCGGATCAGATTGCCCGATCCGGTAGCGATCTTGGCCGATGGTTCGGCGATCTGGTAGTGATGGCGGAGCAAAGCTCCGCCCACCCATCCAGGTGTCATTACTTCCTGGTTTGAACCAGGAAGTAATGTGTTTTTTACCTTTTGCGCATGTGCAGGTTTTGCACATGCGCAGGTCTGCGTGCACATGTGACACATGCGGCGTGTGCACTTCCAAACCGGTAAGGAAGGTGAATTCACGCATTATGCTAAGACATGACTTATTTAACTATGGTTTATTGACTAATATGACATGGGTTTTTTGACATAACATGATGTGGGATTTACAAATTGCAAATGTTGAGCTTACATACACAGTACACCAAGCCAAAGCAAAACAACTACTTTATGATTTAGTGTAAGGGACTGCAGAAGGTATAGGATTCTCAAAGCCTATATAACAAATGCTATTAACATAATTTGGATTGCAAAGTTTCCTCCTCATCTTAAACACCAATTCTAGCAGTTCCTTTTCAGATCAGTGTTTTAGTTTAAGTTCCTATGCGGCCATGGCACTACAACATAGAGGTAGTCCTCAACTTACGAATACAATTGAGGCTGGAATCTTAAGTCATTGAGTAAAGTGGTTAAAGATGCTATGTAACCACTTTGCTCAACGTCCTGTAATCCTGACTTGCCCAGTTGTGGTAGTTAAGCAACTGTGCAGGTTGTTAAGTAGAACACCAGGGAGAAGGCCCAGACCTCCAGTGCATGGTGGGGCAGAGAAGAGGACCCAGGTCTCCCATCACACCCAGGAATGGGAGACGCCCAGACCCTCTCTCTGCCTCACCAAGGAGAACAATTGCAAGAACAATGGAGTTCTAGAGGGCAAATCCCTTGTCACTTTGGAGGAATGGACCTCAAGTCTGGCAGAAACTGGAAGGCTCAGAATACTGGCACTTGTTTTCATTCTCACCAAATTTGAAGCTTGTTCCTCCAGCACATGAAGATTTCTCCTCCCTGCCTTGGGGGAAGGGAAAATCCCTTAGCATGCCAGGGGAAAGGACTTCAAATCCAACATCCTCTCTGCTTGCAACCTTCTCAGTTGCTTCCCCATTGGCTTTCTGGAGAAGCCAACGAAGAAGATTGTAAATGGTGATCATATGATCACACTTAGTGACCAGTCATAAATTTGAAAAGTCAAGTGCCCGAAATGTTATCATGTGACTTTGGAGATACCAACACAATGTTTTATGATGGCCGAAAGTACTTTATAGGTGGTAAAGCATTCTTTCCAAGACTATCATGACTGAAAACACTTATTAAATGATCGGTTGTAAGTCTACCTGTAGATGGAGTGACTCAGAAGGCATAGAAAACTGAAAATTAAATAAGAATTTCATTTTTCGCAAAAGCTGTGTGTTCTGTATATCATGAAGTACTGTTCTGTAAGAAGTATTAGATGTAAAAAAAAAAAAGATGAAGCTCCCATATCTTAAATCTGGGTCTGGCAATGAAATGAAGACAAAGCTCTTAGATATCTTCCCAAGAGAGTGGTAGCCTTGTAACATTCTCATCTTCATATATTCCCCCAGTTGGGTTTAGACCCAAAGAAAAGAAAATGAACGGTGGGCCAACTAACCCCAAAGTGATGCTTGCGTTTTTAGATCGCTCTTGGTTTATGCTTAGAGGACCAGGAGAATGGTTAGAGGGAAGATAGGAAGGAGTTCAATAAATTCCAGAGGAGAAACAAAAATGTCTGGAAAAGCTGGAGTGGCAGAAATCAGCAGAGGGAATAAAGAGGATATCCAGAGAAAAAGAAAAAAACCCACATACTTCAACATACAAACAGAGAGCCTTTATATACAGAGAGAAAGGCTATCCCAACATTTTGTGGTTGGCCCTGCCCTTCCTGGCTGCCAATCTGTGGTAGCACAGTACTCAGCCAGCTTGTTCAATTTTCCAAATATGTTCAAGATCTCCCAGAATCTGGAGACCTCTGCCCTTGATACAGTAGTTAAATAAAAAGGAGGATTTCCTGCTGCACTTTTTAAACCTGCAGGCCTAGCAAAGCTATAGGAGTCCAGGCTCTCTTGATATCTGATTACTTTTATCTGAGAGAATGGTTGTCGGTTTTAATAGTTGTACCTGTTCCTCTGTCCAAAAAGGTAACTTGATGAAGGGCAGAAATTGATAGGTACCAGATTCAATATGTGCAGCAGATTATGTTCATCTTATTTTAATTGACTGGCAACCAATAGCAACAGTAGGTTCTGAATCCTGAAAGCAGTCTTATCTACAGGCAGGGAAAATTGGCCTATTTTTAATATCTGGCCCTATAAACTGATTGTATCTTCTAAATTCAGTTAACTGACTTTTTATTCCATTAATTGGGACCATATACATCAACACTGAGGTTTGGGGGCCATTTGTACCATTCCACCACCCACACTGTTTTAGACTAAAGGGCTTTTTTTTTTCTCCAGTAAAAAAGATTATTAAGTGATTTGTTCAAAAGATGTGAACTGCGTGGTATTAATATGATAGCCGAAGATGCTCAAATCAAATAAATATTCTTCTACATTGTTAAAATAAAAAAATAAACCTTTTGAAATTGGCAAGGAATGGCATGCCATATTGCTACCGGATTTATCTTTGTAGAAGTAGTCTGTAGAAATTCTCAGTCATCCAGGTCATGGTTGTCCCAAATGTGCTTTTTCAGGAGGCAACTGGACGTTATTGTTTTTTCTTTGAAGAAGTTTCGCTTCTCATCCAAGAAGCTTCTTCAGCTCTGACAGGACAGTGGGGAATGGATTTTGTCATATCTCTCACCATTTCAGATTTGGACCTGTGTCATCAGTGCCTTCCAGTGGTGAAATCCATTTTTTTTTTACTACTGGTTCTGTGGGCATGGTTTGGTGGGCATGGCAGGGGAAGGATACTGCAAAATCTCCATTCCCTCCCCACTCCTGGGGGAAAGAATATTGCAAAATCTCCATTCCCACCCCACTCTGGGGCCAGCCAGAGGTGGTATTTGCCTGTTGTCCAAACTGCTCAAAATTTCCCCTATAGGTTCTCCAGAACCTGTCAGAACCTGCTGGATTTCACCCCTGGTTTGTAGAAGTAAATTAGGTTAAGGGGAAAATCAGGACTATGCAATGTGGAGTCTGTTTGTTCGCCCAAACTGTTGTACTCTACGAACCATGGTTAAAATAAACATGATTTAACACAGTATGCAAACCCACTGCTACCTTACAGCAATCAAATCCTCAGAACTGAGCAGAGATTTGGACCTGACACATCTCATATCCAACTAAAAGCATTCCATCCACTGTGGCACAATCAGCACTTTAGTCGGCACTGATCATTAATAATGTTATGCAAAATCAAGCTTTCTTCTTTACAGATAGTCAAGTAAGCAACTTCGCCATCTACCTCCTGTATTGCTTGCATATCTTTCTTTCATTACATTATATTTCCCTGATCAATGTTCCACCATGTGTCATTAAGCCATTCCCCATCAGCCCCATTTGCCAATAGTTAGTGATCAAGAAGGATGGAACTTCAAGTCCAAAGTCATTCAAGAGTGCCATATAGCTTCCCCACACTGATCCGTCATGTGTGGTCTGGTTCCCAGGAGGGTCCCTCAGCTGGCATTTCCCGATGAAGAGAGATGTTCTTTCACATGCTCTGGCGTGCAAGCTAAAATCCTTCCTGTTTCCTACAGCCTTTCCGGCACCCACCCACGTCAATTAGGAGCCCCTAGAGATGCTCCTATCCAATTAGTGCCTTCTGCAGGGACTAAGCTTTCTACTCTGAGCACCAAACCTGTGGGTCTTTTCCATTTAACCAATGTGGCTCCAAATTACTATTTCCACCTTACAGATCTGTGACTTCTGGAGGAATAAGTAGTGGCAACTGAGCCCCCCACAATTGGGGGATTGGCCTGTGAGCCGAATAAAGCATAAATGTGGAAGTCAGCATGGTCCCTAACTCTGTCTGCTCAAGAAGAATCCTCTGAGCCTCCAGTCTCCAATATGGCACTAACATGGCAAAGAGCTTCTGGGCTTTCTCCTTGTTTTCTTTAATTAATTAAAAAAAAAAAAAACCTAGCATTCAGATTAGCAGCCTCCAGCATTATGTTTAGCCCCAGGAAAGCCTCTATGCTCCATAGAGAGGTCTCACAAGGTTTCTTAGAAAATATGGATAGCTACAAACTAGAATTTTATGACGGGCATCCACCTGCCCAGAATAAAGGTAACAAGACTGGTATTAGGTTCTTAAGGGCAAGAGTGAGAATGACAAGTAGAATTCTGGGAACTTGCTACCATTTCAGGAATGGGCAAAACCATCATTCCAGGGGTCATTTCACAAGAATGCCCACTGCGTATTTTCAGAATTCTTTAGCACAGGGGTAACAGTAACAGAGTTGGAAGGGACTTTGGAAGTCATCTAGTCCAACCCCCTGCTCACGCAGGAGACCTGTATTAGGCATTCGAACTGCTGAACTGCCGACCTTTCGGATCAACAAGCTCAGCGTCTTAGCCACTGAGCCACCTAGTCTGGCCAAGCAAAGCTGACTGAGGAACTCTGGGAGTTGAAGTCCACAATTCTTAAAGTTGCCAAGGTTGGAGACCCCTGCTTTAGCATGCTCACCAGCCCTAACAGACAAATGCACTCTGAACATGTAACACTGACGACTTTCTAGCCAGAACCACAACACACTGTTTACAAAGGTGATCAAACTGGAACTTTCTAGATCAACTTTTTAAAATCTACTGATACAGCCTTTTGATGGTGAATGCTTGCCTTGCATATACTGAAAAGCAAATTTAAAACAAGGCAGAAGTCTGACACTCAGTAAGGAAGTTAACCGAAGGTTATTATTGGACATTTGGCCACCTTCCACTTTACTGGCTGGAATGTGCTTATAGCCATATGTCTATGGAGATTCTCAGTGCCCCTAGTCATGGTTGTCCCAAAGGTGATTTTTCAAGAGGCAACCTGACTTTCTGGTTTTTTGTTGAAGACGTTTCGCTTCTCATCCAAGAAGCTTCTTCAGCTCAACCAGAAAATCCAGTTGCCTCTTGAAAAATGGTTATAGTCATGTGGAATAAAGAGTGAGTTTCCCATGAATTAAAATGAGAGAAGTGTTCATATAAACCATATTAAAATACATATGATTTGGGATTAAATATAGGTAGTCCTTGACTTACAACAGTTAATTTAGTGACCATTCAAAGTTAGTGAAAAAAGGTGTCTTATGACCAATTTTCAGTTCTAACCTTTGCAGCATCCCTGTGGTCATGTGACAAAAATTTGGATGTTTGGCAACTGGTTCATACCACATTTATCACCTTTGCTATGCCCCAGGATCACGTGATCACTTTTTGCGATCCTCTGACAGGTGAAGTCAATGGAGAAGCCAGTTTCACTTAACAACCGGGATACCAATTTAACAGCTGCAGTGGTTCACTTAATAACCGTGGCTTGAAAGATTGTAAAATTTATTTATTTATTTATTTGTTTAAATTTCTATACCGCCCTTCTCCAAATAGGACTCAGGGCGGTGCACAGCCTAAGTAAAAACAAAACATACAAAATTTAAAAAACAGTATTAAAATAATTAGATATTCTGGCCGTAAATTAAAACAACCCAATTTAAAACCAATTTAAAATTTAGCTCAAGCCAGCCCAGCTAGTTGAAATAAATAAGTTTTCAGGGCCCGACGAAAAATCCGGAGGTCTGTTATTATACGTAACTCCGGGGGAAGGTTATTCCAGAGGGTGGGCGCCGTCACAGAGAAGGCTCTCCCCCTGGGGGTCGCCAGCCGACATTGTCTGGCGGACGGCACCCTGAGGAGGCCCACTCTGTGCGAGCGTACTGGCCGGTGGGAGGCTATTGGTGGCAGTAGGCGGTCTCGTAAGTACCCCGGCCCTAAGCCATGGAGCGCTTTAAAGGTGGTCACCAACACCTTGAAGCGCACCCGGAAGACTACCGGGAGCCAGTGCAGCTCGCGCAGGAGAGGTGTCACATGGGAGCGCCTCGTCGCCCCCATAATCCCCCGCGCGGCTGCATTCTGGACCAGCTGGAGCCTCCGGGTGCACCCCAGGGGGAGCCCCATGTAGAGAGCGTTGCAGTAGTCCAGGCGGGAAGTGACTAGTGCCTGAGTGACTGTGCGTAGAGAGTCCCGATCTAGAAAGGGGCGCAACTGGCGTATCAGGCGAACCTGATAAAAAGCCCCCCTGGCCACGGCCGTCAAATGGTCTTCTAAAGACAGCCGTGCGTCCAGGAGGACACCCAAGTTGCGAGCCCTCTCCGTGGGGGCAAGTGATTCGCCCCCAATAGCCAGCGATGGCGTCAGCTGGCTATATCGGGACGCTGGAAGCCACAGCCACTCGGTCTTGGAGGGG